CTCATTCCAAGTTCATAAACAGAATGATTAAAACCATTTCACTTTTTTCTAGAAGTTTCTCTCTTTGCCTTTTGTGGCATACAGCTGTGATGGAACACAGCCCTAAAAATGAAAAACAAGAGCTAATGTAGCTAATGTTGACTATAAAGTTACTCAATCATAATAACTATGAAGAGAAGCAAAGGTTTTAATCCTTTCACTCTCAAGATCTCATTTGTCATTCCCCTTACTTTCTGTCATACAAGTCTTATGCTGTTAGTTTGGAGAATTTGGTGGTGGACCAACTAGTAATCCCTTAATTGATACTTTTCTTTATTTCATCACTTGTCTGTTTGATACTGTATTGATATTGTTAGGAGAAATTCTGTTGTGGTCACCCATTGGAGTTGAAGGGTTTTAAAGTGAGTTCTTTCCTTACCCAAAGGTGGAGTGAAGAGATCTTCTCCTAACCCAGTCCTTGATGTCAAGCGACTGAGAGCTTCTCCTGGACCTTCCAGCCAGTTGTCTTCCCGTGACCAACTTGGCAGTCCACGTGAGGGCGAGCGTGCCAAGGAGAAGTCCTCCAGAGAGGCCGCTGACTACACTGTTCCTCAAGGTTATACTACCTTGGCTAATCTAAAGCCTGAAACTGTTGTGAACATCTATGGAGTGGTGAAATCTTTCAAACCGGCCTGGAAGTGCCGAGGCACTGACATGTGCTCTGTTCTTATGATAACGGATCCTACGGTAGTTGATTCCACCTTTGGCCTCGAATGTGTCTTCTTCCAGCAGACCATCAGTCGCCTGCCTGCCGTTCACAAGGTGGGAGATATCGTGCGATTGCACCGCATCAAGATCTCGCAGTACCAGGAAAAGCTTCAAGCGATGTCATCCCGTGGATTTGCGGCGATTGTCTTTGACCGGGATAGCGAGGTACCAGTGACAGCAGAAATGGCAAGGGTCTCAAGCTCTACCTTCTCGCTATCAAAAGAGGACAAGGACACCATCCAGTGCCTAATAGAATGGTGTGACTGCAATCCGGCCATCTTTCCGCTAACTAACTTCATTCCTGTTACGGAAATTAACCCAGACTGTTACTTCGACTTGGTCGGCCAGGTCCTTGGTGTTGCATTACATCGTACCCTGGACTGTGTGGTACTCTTTGTCACTGACGGTACCCATCCGAAATGTGACATCCGAGAGGGCATTGGCGATGAGTACAACGTGGTAGAGCCTCCAGATAACCACCGCTCGGCGAAGGACGGCGATATCATCTCTGTCTTCCTTTACGGCGCTTACGCCGAAGTTGCGCGGCTTCTTGCAAGAAAGGGGAACTATGTCATCCTTCATAACTTGCATTCCCAGATCCTGAAGCAAGGCGGGTCTGTTTGCAGTGTAGTGGACGTTGTGAGACCTTATGTCGAATTGTGCATCCATAGGGGCACCTGTTATGGGCGTGGTCTTACTCTTCTGTCCGCTGATTCGCCAGAAGTCATAGGAATTAAGAAACGACTAGGTGTCTAATTTGACACGACTTTTCAACAATTCAACAGTGTTCCTTTTTTCCTATGGCTTTTATCGCTGAAAGTTTTCTTTTGCTGTTTCTCCTTGTGTAAATACTCCCTTTTTACTCTCTTTGAGTTCAAACGTCGTCTCCTGTACCTAACAAACAATAATGGCAACCCGTAAAATTGTAACTTAAAACTATTGATGTATGTTCCACGTAACATGAAAGAGTATTTTCTTGTATTAGGTTTCGTCAAATTTAACGACATTAAGGGCATTGAAATTATCCACTTTATTCTTTGTTTGGAACGTCATCCTTCGGACAGGGTGGAGGGGGAGGGGGCAATATCCGGTAGCGATTTTCAGTTGAACCAGCACAATCATGTTGAACCCCTCCAAACCCGCATACTGTTCGAGTGGAAAGGGTGGGAGGGTGGGGGGAAGAGGTGTCTTGTGCTCCTCTCAGGCGTTAAGTAAAACTAATTGAATGTTCTTGCAAAATTTCTCCCAAACTCATATAATTTTCGCTCCTGTTGCTTTTTTCTCAACACTCAACTACATAAATAACTATTTTTTCTGTTGTCGCTACATCTCCCCTTGGTGTGTCTACATTAATATGCTAGCTTGAGGTCAACTTAGCTTCTTAGATAACTGCATGCATACGAGTGACCCGTTGCGGGAGCAAAGCGTGGAATTACCCGTTGTCCAGAAAGTGTGCGAGTCATTTCTTTTCACCTATTGCAAAGACTGTTGGTTGATCGAACGGGTGGTTTCCTATGTCTCTCCCCCCCATATTCTCGTTCTTGGGGCTCTCCTTTCCCCACCCTCCCTACCTCTCTTTCTCTCTCGCTCTCGTTCAACGGGGGCTGGAAACGGAAGGGGTCCCCAAGAACCAAGTCGACTGTTCCCGCGTCTCTTTTCTTTGTAAAACTTCCATGTGTTGAAAGGAGAAGGTTTGCTGCCCTCGTTGCCGACATAAACTCGGTTATGAGTCTAAGATCATGGCTCCCGAATGTTTTTTGGTGAGTTTGTACTTTTCAAGCGAAAGGTTACAAGGGTGAGGCGAGCGGGTGTCCTGCTTCTCATGCCTTTCTCGCCTTTGCATTTCAGTCCCCTGAAAACAAACAAAAGAAAAAAATTGGGAAAGCTTGTTCTGCAGGCGAGGATTTTAATGAGAATATCTGCTTTGTCCACCTCGGTGACCAAGTTGAATTATCTCGGTAGTATGAGCATGAATTACGCCACTGACCATATGAGCAGAAGTCAGAATTTATGGCACGAACGAAAACGTATCTCTTATTAAATGATGTTTGTCAAGAGGTTACAAAATTTCAGTTGCATTTGTTTTTCAACTAGATATTGCAATACTTACCTTGCAGGGAATCAAGTTTGAAAAACAATAAAGGAAAGCTAACAATTTTCGCGAGATCCACATTTCTGCATCTTAAAAATCAAGGTGGTCTCTCGCTTTGCCCACCTTCGTTCCCAGCTGGGGACCTCTGAGGCTTATCTTCGGTCTCGTGACCTTCCCTGGTTTCAGGTGTCACGCAGAAATTTACATTTGCATATTTGCACAATCAAGCGGTTGTGTTTGTGCCTTCCTTTGGACTTGCGGAGTTGATTAACCTTGGCCTCTGCGCTCCGTGGTATTATTCTCGCGGTTCACGTCTTGAAAGAGAATCACTGGGGAGATTTTGTCTCAAAATCAGATTATTTCCACAGTTAATCACCCGCAACATCAACAGTTCACTGTTACGCTCGATTGGGAGCAGTGTTATTTAAATCTTGGAACATCTGTGTTGACGAAAAAGGGTCGCGTTGGGCTTATTTTGGATTTTACCCTTGCTTTATTTTAACAATTCCTTTTATGAGGACATTTTAGAAATTCTTCCGGTGGTGAAGTGGACTCTCTCCAATCTCGGATGCCGCGCATTTTAACTCAAGAACCATGAGGATCAATTACACCAGCGTTTTGGCATTATTTTTCGCGGTTACCTACGAACTACCTTTGCTTGTTGTCGGAGAACGTCTAAATAATGATATTGTGAAGAACTGGTCTGCGCTAGTGGAGAGCTATCTCCTAAAACTTGCCGAGGAAGGCCTAAAAACGCGCGAGCTACAGAAGTTGTACGACAACGCAAATTACACAGTGGAAGAAAAAAGTGGATTCGATACTGTGAACTCTGTGAAATCACGGCTAGGAAACTACTTCGTTAAAAAGGAAAATGCGGCCAGGGTATGAAAGAATAATTTTTTATTGCGGCATTGAGGCCGCGATTAAAATTTAAACTTGATCAGTGAATTGCTCATATGAAGCTCTCTCCCAAAACCAACTGTTATGATTATGAAATATTCAGCAAAAATGCTGAAATCTGTCACAATTGTTGTTTTTGTTCTTCACATTTGTTTGGACTACCGTTGCGTTGATGTTAGGTTCGTTATTTTTTCGTACTGTTGTTAATTTTTTCGTTGCTAATTCTCTTCTGTTCCATTTTTAGCTGAATTGAATTAATTTAAATTATGCAAAGGTCACCTATCTTATCTGGCTATTTTGAGTACATTGATAGAAATCTCCGGACAGCTGCCTGAGGCAATTTTGGGATTCTTTTTTTCTTAAAAAAAAAATATGGCTGATGTCTAGGAGTTTTAACATACAAATACTGCTTTTAAAAAAATGTTGTCCCACAAGGAAATTATTCATCTTGAGATCATAACATACAGACAGAGTACAGCAAGGTCCATGCTCCATGATTGAGAGCCAAATATTTATTCTCCCAGCTGGACCAATTTAGTCACTAAGCATTTTATTATTCATGTAGGACCCTCTTTTCTATTTTAGCTTTCAGCTTGTGGGGCTGTACAGTGAGTACAGCCACTGAGTACAGCCCATGTATGGGTCTCTTTGTTTTTTGTTTTTGAATCAAAGCACAAACAGGGCAGCATTTGTCATATGAAAGTAGATTCCCTGCATAACCCTGCTTGGAAAATCTATATTTTTTGGTTTGGAGGATCATCCTTCAGATGATGGATCAAGATCAAAAAATCCAAATTGTCAGCAAAGCAAATTACCAGTAACAAATGTATTTCAACATGTAAATTCATTATGTTGGAACAAAATTGATGAGTAAAGGCTAGTTGTGGGAAGAATGCAAATTAAGGAAAAAAAAAGCAAAATTGTTTTTAATGGACCAACATGTACTTAACAGAAAGTTGTAAACCTTAACAATTTATAAATGTAACAATTTCCCTTTGCAATTATTTTCAACTATGGTAGAAAGTTGCAGAAGAAGTTGCTAGACTTCATGATGAATTTTACACCAATGAAACTCTACAAAAAATGGCAAAGGTGTCAACTCTACAAGAGCTTGGTGACAAATTCTACTCTGACTCAGATCTTGTGGATACTCTGCCTAAAGATCTGGAATTCAATACGTAAGTAACTACTGCAATCTGACCAGTGTGTCCTCAATAGTGGCAAAGCCCTTAATATTTGGGAAGTGAAGCAAATCAAGTGTTAGGTACTCCCTCTCAAAAGCTCATTCTTAGCTTTAGATACATTGTTCAACACAATTTATTTTGGGATGGTCTAATATTTCTTGAAATTTACTTAATGTTAGTTAGCCAGTATTGAAATGAAGTTAATTTTATGGTAAACAAAGGTTGTGAGGAATATAGCTTCTGGGTACTTATGCTGATATTGAAGGATTCAAATTATGATAGAGGCTGCAAAGTACACTCCTCAATTCCATTGCTTCCTTGTCCCAAATTTATGAACAGTGAAACCTGTATTGACCCTGTCAATCCCAAGATGTACATATGAATTTTCCATATCATAAGCTGTCAATTAAAAATTGTGATTCAGCCTGGAGAGTTTGGTGTTAAATCAAACCATAATTTCTATTTGACATTTTTCTTTTTTCTTATCACCCAATTAATTTTAAAATTTGTTGATATTGTAAGGAAAAATTCCTATTTGATCAACCTTGGGAGGGAAAGTGTTAAATAGTTTTTCAAAGGCACTGCCAATTCCTTTTCTTTACAAACGCTTTCCCTGTAAATTTCTTTCACTCCAAAATGGAAGAACATCCTCTACTTCTTTGTGGCTCAAACTTCCCTAAAAATTATGCCTCTTTTTACCAAGAATCTGGAGAACTGGCGAGGGTTAATAGGATATAAATTTGTCACCTATCCTTTTCAAACATTGAATCTCAAGTATAGATTACTACTGGTAACTAAATCTTAAACCAGCCATTTAACTCATAGGTTATTTAAGCAGAAAGTGAGTAAAAGCAGGAGCTCTGTGAAGATATCTGATCAGGTCGCCAGAAGCAACCCCAAGCTGATTGAAGCTGTGTTTTGGTCGTCACTTCTGGATAACGTGTTTAAGGAAAATTCAAAAAGTGATCCAGAATTAAGGTGTGTTTGTTGTGTGATTTTGTACTATTAGCTATACAGCTATTTAAGTCAGTAAAAGGCTATCTTAACCCTTTAACTCCCAGAAGAGATAGACATGTACCTCCACGCAAATAAATTATTCAGCAAACAGGAAATAAGAATACTTAAACCTATTAGGAAGAACTTGTTGTCTTGATCTACACCAAATTCCCATGACTAATTCACTAGGAAAGGAGTCGCAGCTAGAAGGGAGAATTTACAATCAGATCTTGGGAGTTAAAGGGTTAAAGGTCCAATACATCCAAATCTGTGAGAGTTTTTTTTTTTTGTAAAGGGAAAGATGCTTTGTTTATGTTTATTTATAATGTTTGTTTCCAATTTGTTTGAAATTGAGGGCCACAAGTTTAGTGTTACCCTCAGTGATAAATATCTTATCATATCATTTGTCTAAGAAAGATGTTTGGGTTCTTCCCTTAAATCTGTGCAGAGCTGCCAGCAACTTATTTTATTAAATATCTACTTCTTTTTTAAAATTATTTTATTGTTATTTTTACTTTTACTGCAACCCACATGTAAATTTGAAAATATCCTGGCATTGTGTTTGGCAGGTGGCAGAATTTTGGTTCAATAGAGGGCTTCGTCAGAACGTACCCAACTCGAGAATGGTCCTTAAACTTTGCTGGGTTCCACATAGATTACGACCCCAGATTGAGGCCGTGGTATATTGGTGCCACGTCAGGCCCTAAGGACATCGTCATTATCCTGGATTGCAGCTTGTCCATGGCGGGAAAGAAATTTCACATGGCCAAACAAGTAGCAAAGACAGTATTGAACACCCTGACTAAACAAGATTATGTCAATGTTATCTGTGGACACGAGAGTCACTGGGATGAAGTAGGAAAGTGAGTAGATTTTTCAAACAACTCTGTGAAGTGATAACTGTGGAAAATTAAGTGGTAGAGGTAGGTGGGATGGAGGAAGTGCTGATTGCATCTTTTTTCATGCATGAGACACTACAAATTTTTGCTTATCTCAAAGTAACATTCTGCATATCTTGGTCCTGGCTGGTTTGAGGAAAATTCATAGCAACCAGAATAGAGATGCAATAAACTAATATAAGATACTGAAAGAGGAAGGATTAATACCAACATGCCTGTAGAAGCATAGGCACTCAAGGTCAATGTCTTTTCAGGTGGTTTGAGTACAAGACAGAAGTACTTAGCTGCCAACAAAATCGACTGGTACCGGCGTCCACTTCTCACCGGAAGGACTTAATTGAAAAGATTGATAACCTGAGGGCTGGTGGAACAAGTGAACTCAAGTAAGATAGCCGGCGCTTCAGATCTTCAGAACTAATGAGGCAGTCAAAGTATTTACTTTCCAAATTACCCATGCAAAAGCCCATATAAAACCGTAATGAAAGCTAACCTGTGTAGTTTCGAATAAATGGGGTAAGTTTCTTAAGAAACTGTGGTGCTTCGTGGGAGAGTATAACAGGGTAATTTAGTGTTATCAACTGAGTTGATAACGGAAATTGGCCACCGTAAAGAGTTTAAAATGGAACAGAAAATGGAGCTACGCTATTGGTGGGAATATGTTGACGGAAAAACAAGAATAAATAAGTTGAATGAGAAGCGCTTGTTGATACCGTGGCGATTAAGAGTGCCGATTTAGAAGGTAAATTTTTGTTCTAGAGTTTTGCGGCTTTCCGAACTGCTTAAATGCAGGGAAAGGGTGCAAACTGCCATATGCCATAGAGAGATTAATGTGTCTAGCGACTGATTTGGATGCGTCCTTGTCATTTCTTTCCACGTCGCTAAGGTGTCCTCGGAATCGGTCTCGGAATGTTTAGTTTCGGACATGTTGGCGTGAGCGTGTCCTGCGAAGAAAGCCGTTCGGTCCTTAACCTTTTAACTCCTAAGAGTGACTAGCGTCTAATTTCTCCTTACAATATCACCCCTGAATCAAATATGAAGGTCATGAGAATAAATGAACTGATCACCAACTAAAGAAGCTCTATATTGCTAACCAAATTCTCCTTGTCAGCACCTGAGGAAACATATAGAGAACAGTATGAAGAATATGCATACTTATGTAAGGCTATAAAGAGTTAAGACCTCGGGCACAGGTTTTTCCAATACGGAGCTCCTGCCTGGTAAATAATATGTGTATCATTTGGATTTTTTTTATTTTCTCTTTGAGATAAATACGGATATTCGTAGGCCTTCCGCGCCATCATTTTCAAGCGACCGTCATGTTAGCGAGGGTCAGTGTTTAATTTAACACAGCTCCATGGACACTTTTGCATGGCATGTGATTTTACGTTGCGCGCAGATTTGGAACGATGGGTAGTTTGCCAGACGCATAGTTGAAACGCACGTTGCTTTGCGCTGTTTGCTGTTGCTTCTCAGATGTGAACATATGAGATATCATATCAGAGGGAAGGCTCAAGTTAATCCTAAAACACCCAAGATCTGATTTTCAATTCTCCCCTTTAGCTGCTACACTTTTCCGTGTAAATTGGTTACGAGAATTGGTGTTGGATCAAGATGACAACCTCTACCTGATAAGTTTGAATATTCTCATTACCTGTTTGCTCGATGATTTATGGATATTATAGGGAGATGCTAGATGTTAATCACTACTTGAGGTTTAATACATCGTTATTTCCATTTTTTGATGCAAAGGAAAATCATCGAGGGAAAAGCGCCTTTTATATGGTTTATTCTCAAGAGAGGTCATATTCTATGGCTGTTTTGGAAACTTTTCGGTCACAACAAAGTATCTCACAATAGTTTCACGCGTTCCTTCAACAGAAAGTCTTTCAAGTTGGCATTCGAATTGTTGCAAGGAGCAGCTAGAACCGGCTGCCAGAGCATCATTGTTTTCGCTACAGATGGAGTGGATAATGATGGGGACCCTGTACGCTGTGGCCCAGGTTACTACACCAGGAGCGGTTACGTTCCAGGGCAGATATGCAAATATGACTGGAATGATGTGTGGGATGAAGTGCTGGCTAAGAATAGATATATGATTCCCAGGGTAAGAAATTTTTTGGAAGGGTTTGGTACTAAGTTTTGAATCTATGGAATGAGGTAGTGCTTTTCCTTTTAAATTCTTTAGTTGGCATCAAAACGGTTGTGAGCTTACACTTTTTTAAGGCATGTCACGCAATTTTCCTTGATGCAGTCTGTTTTAATCGTCTCTGTTTGCTTATGTAGCATTTCCCTATGGCATTTCTGTTCCTTCTGAATTTCTTGATTTCATATGAGATTTGAATTAACTTTGTCACCTGATGGTCTTTTCTTTTGTTTTGTTCAAGACTCGGATCTTTTCGTATTTGACCGCAGACGATGGCGAAGAATTCCCAGGAAAGCTTGCTTGCGATAATGAGGGCTTCATGAAGAAGCTAACAGACGAAGAGAACATCATATCACAAATGCAGGATTACTACAGCTTCTTGGCGTCCAATACAATAAGCATTAGTAATGTCACGTGGACGTCTCCTTATCTGGACGCGTCGGGCCTGGGACTCATGGTCACGGTGGCAATACCGGTCATCAGCAAATTCACGAATAAGTGAGTTACGCTTGGTTTGCGCTTGTGCAGTTACGAGCGGTTACGAACAAAGTTTTCTATGAATAGAACTGTACTTTATTAATTTTTTTTTTATTATTTTTATTAGAATTTCCTACTTTTCTCAACAATTTCAATGACGCATCGCTAAGTTATTTTTGGCTTGGTCACGGCCTATTGGGTCACGCAAAGCCAGTCACTTTTGGCTTTGTCACGCCCGGTTAGGTCATACTTGGCAAGTCTTGCTAGCCTACTGTAGGCTCCAAACTAGCAAAAGTTCAAATTTGTTCTTTATGTCTTTACAAAGTTCTATCTCAAACGAGCAAGCAAGCAGATAATCAAACAAGCAACTGCAAAGAAGATCTTTGATAAGTTTTCGAAATTTCGAAATAGCACAAGCCGAAGCCGGGCGTACCGAAGTACGCTCCATTACTTCCGAAGTCAGTTTCAATTTCTGAACGCGTACCACGTTGGAATAGGAAGAAATCATGGTTTCAGCTCTCCAAACGGATTGTCTCTGATTTTATTTGGGACTCATTTCGCTGCCTTTTTTGGAATCAAGGATTTAAGTCGAGTTATTATTGTCTCATCCTAGGACTATAGGTGTGGTTGGAATTGATGCCACACTGGAAGAGATTGAGAACATCCTGTTGAACGACCAGTGGGGATCGGTGTACGCTTTTCTGGTGAATGAGGGAGGAGAGACAATTTTTCACCCGCTTTTGCGACCAAGCACTGAGGTAAGGGAACAACCACGCTAGAAGCATTCGGTTTGTTGAGGAAGGTTTCCTGTATTTCCTAGCGGCTGAGTGGATTCAAGACAACTGGTCTTCTCTTTCTGTTTATCTCTGTCTTCCATTCTGGATGGATGTGGTGAGGCACTCTTCAATATCTCCCGTAGTTGTTTCAGCTGCTGTTCATTCGCTGAGAAACAAAGGGCTTGCAGACTCGCTGATGATATGCTGGGATGTTGACTGAAATAAGAGGGCAAATATTGAAACATATCACCTTTAGCAGTTGAACGTATACAAATACCCCGAAAGAGTCGAGGAAAGATTTGTATGATGCAAAGAGAATGTCTACAACTTTTCATCGCAAAAAAGAAAAAGAAGCGAGACCTATCTAGGTTCTCTTCTCTCAATTCTAGAATGTTTGTTAAGTCTGCTCCGAATTTTTTTGTGAGCGAAACTTGGATAAGTGTGAGGGAAAACCTTTACCTGAATGGCATAACGTCTGGGGTAGGGTTAGTTTGCTTTTGTACAAATTGAAGTGAGGTTCGTCATAATTCGATCAAGCGGTTCTGAGACTAGCCTCTCAACTTGAATCTTTTTGCTCGGCGTTATAAACCGATGATTTCGGGCTATGTTAGCGTATGATTCGGACAAATCGTGGAATTTTTCGAATAGCACACACTCTGGGGTAGAAATATTATATTACCATCAACTTTTATCTGTTGTTAGTAGTTAACCGCTTCGAGAAGATGAGCTGAAAGGTTGAGCCTCTAAGATTGACTGCCATCTGATTTCTCTTCTCTTTCTCTTAATCATACATCAAGGTCAAGAAAAAAAGGAAATGATCATCAACTAAAAAAAAAGCTCTGGATTGTTTAAAAAAGAAAATCCTCCTTGTTAGCAGCAAAAAGCTTCGAGTTTTCCTTTTTCCAACTTGTGTTTCCCTTTACAAATTTATATGAACGTATCAATGATTTTTTCGCATGTTTAGCGTGACAGCGGTTGTGTCTTATGTTTTCTTATGAAATTTTGCGCGGGAAATTGGCGTGCAGCCGGCCAAAATTGATCCCCTTTGCGCATGCACTACGTTTGACGGCTGTGTTGGTCAGTTCCTTCAACGTGAAGTTTTCTTACCTGTTATAGGTGATGGGAAAAACACGATTGTTTAGCCTTCCTTTGCATCGACACAATAACATCATCTTAAGTACTTGACGATATTGTTTTCGTGTAAGGACATACATAAAAGGGTCAGCGATGAAGTTTAGCAGAAGAAACGAGCAGACAAGAAGATCTGCAGTGCTGTTTTTCCAGTGGTAAAAAGCGTTCCCTATTAGACGGACCTGAAAAATTAAGGCGGATTTTCAGAAATGACCAGTATTCTAGGGTTCTAGAAAGCTTTCATGAGACTAAAACGGAGGCTGACTTAAGACCAATCACGGTGATGATGAATCGTGCAGCGAACCAATCACGATTTGCAGCAAAGCTTGGTTTTCGATGAAAAAGCGCGGGAAATTTTGCGAACGAGGGTGTTCACATTGGTCTGTTTTAATCATCTGATTGGCTAAGAATAAAATAAGTTCGTTGAAGAGTTATACATGCTTCTGGGCTCTGTTATTCTCTGTTATTATTTATAACACAATCAGTCAAAACCAGGCGTAGAGGTCGGAAATATTGGTGGATGAAAAGTAAATAATGTTCTTCGGCAGACCCGACCATAGGGGGTGATTCCTGAACTGTTCAGAATGAAGAGAGCTCATGAGAATTCCATTGAATCGACGTTTTTAGTACTACTTATCAGTTCTCTCGAAGAAAAGGAAGATATAAAAGGAATGAATTATGTGGCTAATTCGAGTGAGCTTTCGAAACCTAGTTATCCAGGAAACCTCATTTCTTGCAGACATAAGTTTACCTTTGAGTTGACAAGATTGTCTTCACGATTGATTTTGATTTTGATACGATGCCGATTGCTCCGACGGACTCCAAAGGTACAGACTTAAAAATTTTCCTAACGGGTTCACGAAACAAGTGTTCCTCTCTCACCAATCTTTGTAGAGTTAGTATTAGAGTTAAAAAAAGGTTTTGGTTGAAGAAAGAATCGATTTGATCGCGAACGCTTTTATCGTCATGAGCAAGTTTTATTACCCCAATATTTTCAGTTTCTCTTTTAACGTTCGGTGAACTGGACGTCTTTTTTTCATAAAAAATTCTGGAGTGATCAAATCTAAATTAAAGTTAAACATTCAGGCAGAATATTTAAAAATCTTGAAAGTAAACAAAAAGAAATTATTTCATCCGGTAGTGTGAATTAATTTTTGGCGCTATGAAGCGAAAAGTGGCAAAAAAATTCAGCGTCCGATCATTCATTGAAATGAATTTGGCTTACAAGTTAGTAATCGTAATGGAAGGATATTTTTGGCAGGAAAAAAAACCTACCATCAATGCTTTCGAACCAAAAGCGGATTTACAAGGGGTTTTTAATTTGGCCAATTTGTCAATCCAAACGTGGTTGCCATTGAAACGGTACGTCATGCGAACATAAGGTTTGCTAGTACGTGGTCATGAATCTATTCGCATATGTTTTTCTGTTTTTCAATTTAAAGAAAGTTTGGAAAATTGAATGCTGATTGATCGAGCCGATTGAATAATAGAGACGTTTAAAACTTATCAAGAATTCTTCAATGACAGTGGTGTTCCTTCTGTCAGTCCTAGGTAAATGTCAATATTTCATAAGTTAACAGAAGATATTCGATCTCTGCTTTGTTTTTCTTTGTTTTTGTTTTTTTTCCAAAAGCCATAACGTTATTTTTGTGCGTTGCTTCGTAGGCCTCTTGACATGGACAGCTTCCAAACGAAATTTTAAGCTCGCCTCATCCTTTTCAAACACCCTTTTTTCTCAGTCAATTTTGGAGTAATCCAAATGATAATAGCACGAATTTATAAGGTATTTTCGAAGAATTCAAAGTAAACAAAGATCAGAACATATTTAATCGGGTTGTAAATATTACTTGTCTGGCCGTTCATCGAAAACTATTGTTAAGAAATATTCTATTCTTTTTTTCCTTTTTAAAAAAAATACCGCAATAACCGATAGTCAATATATCGCTCACTTAGCCGATCTTTACCTTTTTAACTTAATCTTATACATTTTCATACCTTGAGGGCATATTATTTGAAAGGTTTTTGGGGCCTTATGAATGTGAGGTACATCAAACGTTTTGGGGGATTCGACACTCTGCTCAAGATACTTCAACTAGATAAATTGATAGGCAATAATTTCTTACCATGAATGGAATCCAGCCAAAGAGGTACACTACAGAAATTAGTACCATCGTTCTTGAGAACTGTATTTCGGTGTCCTCTCGTTCGATGTTTCTAAACTGTGCCATCCGTCGTGCTCCAGGAAGAATCATGTTCGTCACCGATACCCGGCGTTTCCTGTTTCTAAACAGTTCCCAGATGACTGTTATGTTACAAAATAGGACTACGGTCGCAGGTAGACCACCGAGAACTGCGTAAAACGCACAGAACGCGCGGTCAAGCGCGTTTTTCGGAAACCAGTTTAAAGTACAAAAAGAGCCACTTGAGCTTCTCACAAAGCTTCCAAATTTCAAGATGGGAAAAAACGCGACGAACAAGGACGCTGCTATAGCTCCTGACAGTAGCACTTTTGCCTTGTTTACTGTCATTGTTTTGCGATGAAAAAATGGTTTGGTGACGGCTATGCAGCGATCGACCGCCATTAAAGTTGCTAAGAACGCTGAACAAAGCGTCGAAAATAGGAAGACAAATCCCTGGAAATCGCAAAGTTTCTTCCCGCCAACCCATTCGCCTTTGATGTGGAATAACCAAGATGGAACACAAAAAAATGTGATGGAGATCAGGTCGATGCATGATAATCCAAGCACGAAGACATTAGGGCTAAGCGGTTGCAGCTGAAGCAGTCTAGCAGAGGAAAGAATGGCGAATGTGTTGGCGATGATTCCAGTGATCGGCATAATGTACAAGATAATTTCTACAGATAACTTAGAATCATCGTTTGTGGAATTTCCTGTCATTGTCTTCAATTTAATGCCTTATTCATTCGTCTTGGGTTGTTGCGAGAGAGCGGCATTCTTCTGCGCTTATTCTCGTCTTTTCGTTCCGGCCTTTCTACCTTATGTTGAAGAAAGATCTTTGTATGCCCGCAACATTAAGGTTTTCTTTTCACAATTTATCTCACTTAGTTACCCCTTGTGCCTGCCGATTCAGATTCTAATTGGCTTAATCCTCGTTGCCCAATTGTCTTCCGTTTGAGTAGTTTTAACCCTTGAGGCTGTCAAATGCTCTTCTAAAATATTCACTATTTTTATTGAAGTGTGGTACTCTTTTGACCAGAATGAGTTTAAAATTTTTCAATTACTCTCGAACCGGTAGCAAATATCATTTCCCTCGACGTAATATAGAAAAATAGAAAAAATAGAAACTCAAATTTCCTATATTTATTGTTTGGAATACCGGTTTACATGTTAATCTATTTTTTCGTCCAACAGCTTGCAGCTTGCAATAAAATTCACAAATGTTTATGTGTGCACGGAATATATTAAGAGCTTCTGCGCTTACGCACGTGTAATGCTGCATGAAAATGCTCTTTAAAAAGAAAATTTAATTAACTATCTGCGGCTTGAGTATGATCTTGTGTTCCCAAAGAGGAAATTGTAGAGCAAGCCAAGACCGGGTAACTGTAGAAAAAAAGAAAATATTTTCAAAACTGTTTGCGGGGTGCGATGATAGATGAATAATATCCAAGATTTCCCATTCGTTTAAGTGCGCTCAACTTGATAGAAATTCTATGGTAGGGTTTTTGTTTACCTCGGTTATTTTCACCCTCGCTGTATTAGTACTCTGCTAATCAATTTGTATTCAATCTCATTTCATACATTTTGCACTTAGTTTTGAATAGTTTACAAAAGGCTTAGGAAGTCACAAAGGTAGTTCACCAAATTGGTCATTAATATTGAAGCGGCGGTCAAATTTTCAATGTGCTACCACATTCTCATTACATATTCCTTATTTGGAAGGCGGGATCACAACTTTCTTTTATCCTAAAATTGGTTTATGTTTGTGAAAGTGCAAGCAGCTGCTTGTATTAAAACAAACAGGGAAAGTGTTATTTGAACATCTGTATTTTCTCTGTTGAAATTGAGGGGACTTATCTTTCAAGAAGGAGATTTTATTTGAATTTGTCAAATAAAGCCATGATCCTCGCTGATAAGCAGACAGTTGTAGGAAATAAGCCTGAAAGAAAAAAAACACCGGCTTCAACGAGATTCGAACCCATGCCTCCCGGTTACTTGTTGAGCACCACTACCGACTGAGCCATCAAGTCACATATTAGGAACGAGGGAACTTTAGAAGGTTTTTTTTCCCGTTTCTCTTTCACGCAAGTAAACAACGATATTGAGTGATAAACTCAATGCATTGGAAGGAATAAGTAGACGTGTATTTGTGTTAAACGTTGCAAAAACTTCATAAATAGTGGTCAAAAGCTTTCATTTAAAGATGGCCACACCAATTTTTCAATTGCAAAAATTTGCAGCGCGCTATTATTTAATTGAATGGTGGGGCACCAGGGTTTTATGCTAAGGTACGTAAGGCTAGAACGATAGATCATTAGCTTGCTCACTTAGTGGGAGTTCTTCCGGAAAATTGAAAGCCACGGACATCTTAAAAAGCTCAATGGTTCCCCTACAGCGTATCTGCGGTGAACGTTATATTAGTCGACATCCTATGACCATTTCTTTTATCTTCGAAACCTATGATGCGTATTTAACCTCAACATAGCGAAGACATCTTTATGCCAATTGAGGACATAACAGCGCGCGGAGCCGCCTGGAAACAAATATATCCAACTTTTTGTTCAATAGTTGACTTAATCGGCCGGGTTTTCAAAACACATTTGCTAAGCTCGAGTTCAAGGAAATTTTTTTAATATTTTTGTAACTTTACAGAAAATTTTATTATTCATAATTTGTTTCCTTCAACTTAGCTTGACGGCAGGATAAAATTCTACAAAAATTTAGTTGTAGTTAAGAGAACAAAAGCAATATTTGCTTCCTATACACAAAAAATAAAGCACCATTTTTTTTTTAACCCTGAAATTATCTCTAGGTACCTTTGAGACAGTCGGCCTTTGAATGAGAAGAGGAAACGATATCGTGTAGTTTTTAATGTATGTTCGTAACGCTACGTTACCATTGCGTGCGCTACGGCGAAAAGCTTGCTTCGTGATGAAACTCAGGCCAATTTGTCTTTAAGCATGTCGCACAAGACCATTTTAATGTAGCTATTCCAAATCTGGCAAAATTTTGTGGGAATTGCTTCGGTAGCAGCCTCGCCGTTCTCTCTTACTGCAACACAACATCAGATTGCTCTTTTGATAATCGCAAGAAGTCACGTGAACAATAATTGTCATATTTGTCGAGCAGAAGCCTGGGGTCACACGTTGCTTACAGTGCTGCACTGAAAATCTCGTCGCTCTAAAAAGTATCTCGTTAAAACATGAATCTGACCTGCGTCGGAAATCTTTTCGCACCAGGCAAATTCAACGTAGCGGTGATAGTACGGTGCAAGTATTTTATAGCAAGTATTTTATAGCTATTCCAAAACCGGTAATTTTTTGGAAGTCTTTTCTCGTAACCCTACTTTTTGATTCCCCCATCAACGCCGGTTTTTTGGAGTAAACAACTCTTTAGCTTTTTATGTGACAGTTAAACGTTGTGCTTTGATTCGGTGTTTTGCTTTCCTCACACAGCTTGTGGATGATCCAATCTTCATTCCAATCAGCACCCTCGAACAGCGCAATGGTAAACCGGCGGAGTTTGACACAGTCGCCAAAGGGATGATGGATGGCGAGACTGGCTCTCTTAGAATCGAAAACGCTATTAGAAGCATTCCAAAAGGAGATTTTCAAGATGGAGTTATGCTCGTTACTCTACCCTCCACTTATTACTACACGTCAATCAAGGACTCCGAGTACGTTTTTGCCTTCAATCTCGCAGACTCGGATAAGAATTACCGCAGACCAGCATCACCGCCGCGTGGGATGAAAATTCCTGTCAATTATTACGCCAACATTTTGTCCTATAACTCCCCTGAAGTGAGACAGGTAAGGAATATGTATTAGTACATCAACTTCGACTGTTAATTCAAAAATTTTCGGAAGGGGTTATGTATTCAATACGCCGGTGAGGCTTACAGCAATCAAGGTCCTGTTCTGGACAGTGCTAGTTGTCCTTGGAATTCCATACGTGGCCAATACGTGTTTTGTTTGTTAGTTCTACAAACATTTACATCCATGCTCAGTCCTCAAACTCTGGTGTTTGCGTAAAATTTTAGTTCATTTTATTTTGACAGTTGAAGCTTTTACTTTCTCTTTACGCAAGCAGACGAACTGAGCGCAATCTTTAGTCAAACTTTCGGCAGACCAACCCTCCCGCTCCCCATTTTTCATCGCCTAACAACAATGTCCATCTCCTCCCCCATTTTTGTTGAAGATTGTACCCTTCCCCGTGTCAGTAATGTTTTATACGATAAATTGAATTATACACGCGTTATGATTCGTTCTTATTTATGAGCTAATGGAGGACAGATTATTAGGTGTCGTCACCATTAGCCCTTTACCTCCCATGAGTGACCAAGAAAGAATTTCTCCTTACGATATCGATACAATATCAAGGAGACGAGTGATGAGAATAAAGTAAAATATCAATCATGGGATTATTAGTTGATCCAATACCAAATTCTCCAAATTGACATCATAAGAATTGTATGTCAGACAGTAAAGAGAATTACTAACAAGATCTTGGAAGGTAAAGGGTTAGGAACATTTTCCTTTTTTAATCCTTATCACATTTTTACGTCATCTGTGATCTACTACCGAACAGACGCTCGGCAACATGGAATCTATTTGTTGACCCATTAACTCCCATGAGTGATCAAGACAGAATTTCTCTTTACAATATCAATACAACACCAAGAAGACAAGTGGCAAGAATCAAGACAAGTATCAATTAGGGGATTAGTTGATCCAAGACCAAATTCTCAGAAGTAACATCAGAAGAATTTTATAGCAGCCAGTAAAGAGAATTTCTAATGAGATCTTGGGAGTTAACGGGTTAAATTGATTATTTCTCTTCTCCTGCAGGTTTTGGGAAATTTGTACGAAGATCTCAATGTTGAGTACAACGTGTCTTTCTTCCCTGATTTACCCTTGACTTTTAACGCGTCCACTGTGATGCTGAGCCCCAAGACCTACTGTAACCCAAACAACTTCCTCTTCAGGGAAAATAACAGCGATATCACCATCGAAGCACATCGTTTTCTGAACGGGGAGGGAGATAATAGTGGTTGTCCACATGGACGATTTCGGGCTTCTGTTAGGTACGATAAAAACACAGTTCGTAGAAGGGCCTTCGATTGAGTGTCGCAGAGCCAAAGTCAAAGAAATCGAAACGGCCAATCGGAGCGAAAGAAAATATCGATGAGCCAATGAGAACTCAAATTTAGAACGAGCCAACTGTCCGAACCGCGGGAAAACACGGTTGGCCAAATCGCGTTTGGTTTTAGTTTTGAATGGGATTGATTTGGAAAGTGGTGCGAGTTTTCTGTACCAATCATAGAAACCCAAACAATCCCGGATGACTTCCGACACTCAATTGAAAATTGTTCTGTTATCTTGCATAAGCGTTGGTGTAATTGAAGTTATGCAGAGAAGACGAGAAATTTTATTCGAACTCCCTCAAGAGTCAACATTTGTGGTGTTCAGCATGAGTGTGTATGCAAGACACAGTGCTAACGATTTATCGCCAGCATCCGAGATGAACAGAATATGAAACCATCGACAGAGGTTATCTTAAAGGCAGTTCATTTTATTCATTTCTTTTAAGATTTATTAAGTGCTGTTCTGGTCTGTAACTCATACATTTGTCCGGTGGTCTACTTATCGCACCAACTCGTCGGCGATCTTCCAATAGAGGATGGAACTCAACGCATTTAAATTTGTTTTTTGAATGCAGTTTCTGGATTACTGATCCAAAATGTACTGAAAGTGCGACTGTTATTTTATTTTTCTCTTTTTTCCCCTGCTGTAGACCTGATGTAGAGATTACATCATTAATAGAGGACATATGGAAGAACAATCGGTCGAGAGAGATTTTGAAAGATGTTCCCTGGACATACATTGGTACACGAAGTGGTATTTTCCGTTCTTACCCAGGCCACCGCTCACGAAAGAACTTCGACCCGACCAAGTAAGAGTTCTTACAAGTAATAAAGCCTGGCTGCATCTGCGTTTAATTTGGTTTTGAGTCAGTAAGTGTGGCAATAGTGCTCATACGAATAGATTTTTTAACCTCAGGAAAGATTTTTAGAAAAGTGGCAAAACCAGAAACTTGCGATTATTCCTTACTGTTGCTGTTGTTCGTATCTTAGAATTCCTTCGGCAAGAGTGAAAATGACAATCTCAACGGGTGAAACGTTTATCAGCGCTGGAAATTTATTTTAATCCTCCTCCTCTCGGAATCCCAACTTTTCCCTTCCATTGGAGAGCCTATTTAGTTTTCAAGCCTGTTGGTTTTTAAATATTTTTAAATAGTTTGTGAAACACAAAATATTAATAACTGACCTTAAAATCTCACAGGCGGCCATGGTATCACCGTGCCTTGGTAAATCCAGCCAAAGCAGCTGTGTCTAATGCCTACATGGACGCCAATGGTATTGGGAAAGTGATCACAATTTCAGAAGCAGTTTTCCAGGCTTTGCCACAAAACACGTCTAATATAACTTGCGGGGGCACAAGTAATCTTCCAGGGGGATGCGCGTGTTCAAGGTATGATAATGCACTTGTTAGGTTTGTTGATAACAGAGAACCGGAGCTTTTGTTGCGTGGCGTGCCATGCGATGTCATCGTGTGACATAACATGCGATGTCATAGTGTGACATACCATGTGATGTCATAGTGTGACATGTCAGAGTGTGACATTGCATAGTGTGACATACCATGCAATGTCAGAGTGTGACATACCATGCCATGTCACAGTGTGACATACAATGCCATGTCAGAGTGTGACAAGCGTGTCTATTTATATTACTGGTTTAATGTTTGCGCCTTCCTTCATATTGTAGGGATGTTCAGTGTATTTCAGGCAAGTGTCGTGTTTATGAAGGGAATCGTTCCCTATGCGCTGGGGATCGAGTTGAAGCAGTCACAGCCTTAGATATCCTATACAATGATTTCCATCGCCGAGTGTACGGGCTGCTGGACAGCTCAGGAGAGGAGAAATCCTGTGGAATGAACTACACTTGTCCTGATGGCGAGCACGTGTGTCAAACGAGGTATGTAATGCCGTTACCAATACCTGCAAACCATTTCCGAGATCAAGAACACTCACTTTCAATATGAGGCCATGTGTAAAACCTTTCCTGTGAGAAACATTTTTACTTGATGGGAGGGAAAAAATAACGAATGGGTAGCTGGCGCAGGGACTTTCCGGATTTCCATGAAAATTAGAGCGATATCACAATATTTTCTGCCGTTGACTGTTCCTTGTAATCCATCCTTCTAAAGTCTCTTCAAACATCCAAACTCCCCATTTTGCTGCAATTTGTTTTTTAATTCCACTATCTTACCCCATTCCCTCTAACAAGTAACAGTGAAGACATTGCTGAGGTTTTTGACGAAAACACAATTCCTGAAAGAAATTGCATGCAGCATAGAACGAAGTGAAAGGAAGTGAAAAAAGGAGTAATTTTCTGAAGAAACTGTGTGGCAGAGTCGGTGAGAGATAATATTCGTCAGAGAAAATGACGGAGGGCTAATGCTTGAAATGTCAGCCATAGATACTCTGAACGGTGGCCAAATTACAGTATCAATTCAGTTGATAAAACTAAATTGTCTTGCAATCCAGAGAAGAAAGCGACATGACTTTTTTTTTTTCTCTCAGATGCTACCTAGTAGATAACTTGGCTAATTTAGTCACCGATCCAGACTTCCTTCTGGCGAGTACTACAGACGCGCGAGAATATGAACGAGTAAGCCTGGGACGTAAAGAGGGTGACGTAATGAAACTTTTGGTCACAAAGCATAAGTTCTTTGTCCCTAACCAACGAGTTGATTTCCAGGGAATATGCAGCGTTTCCCCGTATGCACCAAAGGTATGTTCATACTAACCCGTTTTATTCCACATCGGTTTCCTTAAAAGAGCTACAACTGTTTAGGTCTCTTTGTGTTTGGGAGTCCATCAGTAAGCTTTCCGAATGACCACTTAAATGAATTGACAAATGCTTCGAGTTTTTCATTTCGCATTCTGCAAGGATCTTTTCGTTCTCAGATAATTCTTGTTTATTTTCATTTAATTGACTGTATCAATAAGATTACATCTTCTTTCACTAAAAATTCACCATCTTCATTTACATCATCATTGCGCATAAGCGTCACATATCGACATTCCTATCCTATCAGTATGCAGAAAGTTTTTCCCCATGGACCAAGTTAAAAGGCCTAGTCTGCCACGTGTCTCCAACAGCTCAGTGGTAGAGCATCTGAAGTGCTAATCTGATGGTCGCAGATTCGACTCCTATTGTGAGCACCGGAGTTCTTTTCCTCCGAGTATGCCTGTGTTATTCACTGACTAACATCTTCTTTCAAATCAACTTTACGAAATAAAAGCCTCGAGATTCCTTGACATTTCCCGTTAGTTAAAGTTGAAGAATTCGTCTTGAATCATCCATACCAGGTATATGGTGTTGCTGTGTTTCTTGCGCATGTTATGTCCACGACTGGTAACCATATTTACAACCTAGGTGCACGTTAAAATTAATACTCCTTTATGTCATTAGTGCGTCTCTAAATTTCTCACACTTCCATATTTCATGATGAGCCAATAACTTATCTTTCAGGTAACATTGGAAGGAATCGTTAGAACACCTGAACAGGAAGATGACTACTACAAGAACAGAGGGCCTATTCCTCCATTTAGAAACGAGTACGGCTGCATTCAGGATGTTGTAGGCTACACTTCAGACGATGCTGTTCTGGGTAAGCTTGGTATATTATTAACTTCCGCATGTATTGATGTTGATGATCAGTAAAGCTATAACAGCCAGCCAACGAGGTCGCCTTATAGTTTAGTAAGTAGAGTTACAGACTGAGAAATCGGAAGGTCAGCGGTTTGAATGCTCTCGTTGGAATCGTGATAGATTTTCAACATCATTTATTTTTTTTCGTCTTTTGTTATGACCCGTATCAGTAAGAGAATTGACTTTCATCGGTCTTACTTGGTAGGTCCTGATGGCATCATTGCGGACTCTGTTGATGGTCCTTGCAGATCCGGGAAGTTTTTCCTCTCGGCTCTCCCCAGGACTAATCTCTATCTGCTTGTGATAGAGAACTGGAGCGAGTACCGTCAATCCTACTTTTATAACTTTAACTGCCACATTAGCAACCGAGTGTATGACGCAGGCGCATTCCGCATCGTAAACGGCACATGCGCACACATTGAGACCCAAACGAGTCTTAAAAAGAAGGAAAAGTGCCCCGCTCTAAAGAACGTCGAGATGCAATGTAGCTACAATGTGTCTAATACTCTAACAGTACCCAGCCTTATACAGTTGTTTGTGACAGTCTTCGCTGTCATTTTCAAGACGAGATGATTAATTATTATCGTTATTTTAGAGAACTAGTTAATTTATTTGATGATCTTCGAAAATGTATTCCGACAGATTTTTACAATTGATTGACCCACCACCTACTGAAATAACCT